AAAACAAGATTTTTATTAGGGTTTGGTTAAACCTAACCTTATTTTTTCCCAGTAGTTTTGTTTAGTTCACAATGGCATATTGTTAATTGAGTTAAAGTGGAATAAACAATGCAATGTTAGAGTTTGCTTTCTTGCTCAAGGCGATGAATTATTTACGAAAAACCAAACAAGCACTTACTCTAACATTAGCTTTACAGGAGTTTGTCTTTTTGGTTTTGGTGACAGCTCCAAGAAGTGTTGAGCAGGGTGGGTGTGTAGGCTTATTAGATGCACGGCTCTGTGGAATGAGCATGTGTGGTTTTTCTTGGTGAGCTGATACATCAGGTCTCGTACTATCTTGCAAATGCATTCTGAAAACACTTGTGGAAGTGTTTTAAACTGTTTCAATTGTTTTTAATGTAGTTTTGCAGAATTTTAGACTAGCCAATGTATCAGAGTCTTTACTTTTAACAGCTTTGTGAAATTATCCAGTCAAGTGATATTTATGAAGGGATATTTACGAAACTATTTGATCAGGTATCTAATGCTAAGATTTGGTATGATTTAGATGAAGAGACAGTCATAATCATCATGAGGTTGGCTTTGTTTGTGTTGTCTGTAGGTGAGGAGTAAGATATAAGATATATAAACAAAGAAGCAATGGAGCCATACAGAATATTGAGTAACACAACAGTGTGCATTTCTAAGTTAAAAAATCTGAAATATAACCCTGTATTCAAGATGCAGTACTAAAATTATGCTATGAATTTTCCAAGAATGTATTGACTTGTCTGAAGTAAAATACGTTTGCTGTTAGCAAATGGGTAGCACGCTTTAAAAAATGGTCATTGGAAATGGCCCCCATCCTGTTATTTTCTGCATAAAGGCTGAAGCTATAAGGAGGAGATAACTAAATTTAATTAATTCCAAGCAATTTTTGTAGGTTTGCTATGAAGTGAGGAATTTTAAATTTGGTGCAGAGTAAGCTTAAAGTTTTTGATAGTGGTTGCTAAAAGCTTGCATTTCAAAAAGAAGACAGACCCCCCAAAAAGAGATGGGTTGGAAGGAGGACAACAAGGTACAACTAAGGTAGAAATTAGTTGTGTCATGGTAACAGTGTTTTTATAACATGGGATATATTCCTGTAAGTTGTCTGCTGTTTTCAGGTATCCAAAGATAAATAAAACAAAGACAATTTTATTAGGCTTGCAGGCAGTGTAAACCTATATTTGATGTGTCTGAACCTTCTAGCATGGTTGAATACCTTAGAAATCAGATGTTTAACATACGGGGGATATTATAGAAGAGTTTTGGGCAAAACCAAGAAGATTTTAAGTATGAATACTAGTGAATGTGGTGGGTTTGCGAAAAACATAGGAAGAGTGATTAATCTTTGAAGTGTCATATAATTACTTGTCTAGAAGGTCAACCTGTGGGGAAGGTGCTAGTTTTGAATTTGAGAAGAATGCGTTAAATGCTTTCCTTCCATTTGGCAGTAATTTTGAAAAAAGTCTTAAAATGTTAATGCTGTTTGAATTGTTACAGTAATATAACACGTTCCTGTGCATCACCTCATTGTTGGAACTGCCTGCAGGAAGGCTCCACAGTAGTTTTCTGTCCAAAGTTACTGAGCATTTGCAGTGGCTTAAGAGTGCACATAGCTGGTTACTGCGTATCAACTTATCCATGATACTTTATTTGTATTTCTGTAGATCCACGGAACACATTTTATATGGAAGTCAGGGGATAACAGCTGTCAAAGGAAGAAGCAAGCAGTGTAATTATAGGTAAATGAAAGAAAAGCTTCTGTAATTAAAATAAGGATTAGTGCTTGAACAAAAATTTCTAGCTATCCAAATAGAAACAAGCTGAATTTTGGCATGACTTAAAGTAGAAGTTGCATAAGTTTGTAATAAGCTAAGATAGGATAAGATAGAAGGAAAAATCAAAGGGGTAAATCAGATAGAAAGTGGAGGCATTGTCATTACGATACTGTAGTAGTTACATTTCTTTGTCAGAAGTACGCTATTTTGGGAAGGTTGCTTTTTAAGCAGTTGTCCTTCATAAGTAGTAAACAAAGAAGAAGGTAGGATACAGGAAAACTTGCAGTGGTGTGAGGAGCTGACTGACTTTCTCTGATGCCTAGTGATTGGTTCTAGGTATCTTTTCCTAGAAGCTGAGTGAGCTTGTTCTCTTACTCTTTAATCCATAGTGCATCAGCATATATTGTGTTTATAATGCAGCTTTTGGAATAAACTCCAAGACTTTCCCAAGGAGACATCATAAAAAAAAACTGCGTGTGGAATTTGTAAAGGCCAAAGCATTTCTTTTTTTTTTTTTTTTTCTGCGTT